CACCACGAGAGATACCGAAAGAAGCTGGACGACAGAGCTTTCGAAGGCAAGCTATGTGGTTTCGGCCTCGACAGCCAGACCTACCGGGTATTGAATCCATCCAACGGGGCCGTGGTCGAGAGCCGGAATGTGATTTTCATCGAATCTTCACTCCGCTCAGTGCCCTTCCAGTATTCCACCGAAGAAAACGGGTACGAGAGCGACGTGCTGAGCTTCACCTCCCTGCTGGACAGCCCCCACTCGACGAGCGACCTGGACTTCACGGCGCAGAACGAACTCCTTCGGCAAGAAGTCCGGAAGATGCAGCAAGACAATCTCGCTCGGGAGAAGCTTCGCCTAGAACTGGACGGGCACGAGGACGAACATGGAAACGGGCAAGATCTCGGCGACGGGGACGCTCCATCACCACATCTCCCATCGACGCCAGCTGGATCGTCATCCGAGACCCACGCATCTAGCCCCAGTCCATCATCGTCGAACCCGACTGAACCGGACACTTCTGCATCAACTGGATCCTCCGGCATGCGGCGCCTGCAAGTCACCAGAGCCAGCACGCGCGGGAAGCCCACCAGCGACGATCATATCGACGTCAACTTGGTTCCTGCCAATCTGGAAGTCACCATGAACGACCGCGGTCGAGCCCATGCTACAACGGGCCGCGTGGAGCCATCCGGTCTTTCCTTCACTCAGCTGGCTGAGATAGCCGATCAAACCCAGCTCCCACGCCCTGGCGATACTGAGGAATTCGCCCACGTTGCGGAAGACCCCTTCACGGTGCCGCGCGCCTACGTCACGACCACCACGAACACCACGGGATCTTGGAGGAGACGAATCAGCCGATCAAAATCCCCAACACCTACGACGAAGTCATGAGCTCTTCCCAGCGCGAAGAATGGAAAGAAGCGTGCAGCAAGGAAATGGACAATCTGCGGAAACACAACGTCTACAATCTGGTGCCCCTCAGCAGCGTTCCCAAGGGAGAGAAGATCCTCGGAACGAAATTCGTCTTCAAGAAAAAGCTGGACGGACGCTTCAAAGCTCGCCTGGTAGTCGGAGGACATCGTCAAGAGCCAGGACAGGACTACGGACGCAGCTACGCACCAGTATGCCGTATCGGGAGCATTCGCATGACGTGCGCCATTGGCTGCCACAACAACTGGCCCATCTACCAACTGGACGTTGTCGGTGCCTTCCTGAACGCCCTCTGCGACAGAGATGTGTACGTCAGACCCGCCCCCGGTACATCCGCCAAGAACTCCGCGACGGGAGAACCCATGGTGTACAAACTAGAACGGAGCCTCTACGGCCTATCGCAGTCGCCTGCGCTCTGGAACGACACCCTGGACGAATCCCTCACGGTGTTCGGATGGAAAAGGACTCAATCCGACCCCTGCGTGTACGTGTATACCAGCGGCAACATCATCGTGATTCTCACGGTCTACGTAGACGACATTCTCATCATAGGAGGAGACCAGCAGCTAGTGGACCAGAAGAAGAAGGAGCTCACGGATCGATTCGAGATGACCGACATGGGAGAGGTGAAGCGGGTCCTCGGGATCGACGTGCAGCGGAACTACGAGCAAGGAACCCTGGCCATTCACAGGAGCACTACGTGAACACACTTCTGGAGCGGTTCGGAATGCAAGAGGCCAACC